TAATGTATCCAAAGCATGTCTGTCCATCTCTCTGTCTCTCTGAGCAGCTCAGGACAGCCAAATCTGAGCATCTGCCCATCTGACTAAGCTCCTGCAGCATCCCTGCTCCCTATCTCTGCTGCCTGCTCAATCCTCAGTTTGGGAAACAAAACTCTCCTCAGACCTTTGTTTTGGCTGTCTGGGACAGGGATGCTGGGATTAACCAGCAAGGTGCAGCTTGCATTTATTTTGCAAGGCATCTGGAGACCGAGTTCCTCTTCTCCTAGCCCACCCCTTCTTACCTTACTCCCAGGAAGAGACTGGATGCAGGTTGTGTAGGTGCTGGTGCCACCACACTTACACCTCTGGTGGACTCAGGCTGGTCTAACAGGTCAGACTCCAGATATCTTCCTCTCCTGCTCCAGCACAGCAAGGCCTTTGGAGGGCAGCAGTTTGATACACCTTTTCATTACCGAAAAGTCCTGTTTGTCAGGCATTTCAGCCACCACCTGGGAACAGGCAAGCCACCTCATAGCTCTGCTCATCTACTCTCCAGCAGGTGGTCCAAGAAATGAGCTTTTGGAGCACTTGGCCACAAAGACCCATCCCAGTCTCCTTGGTGGTGATTTGCAAAGGAAACTGGGTGGCACTTGAAGATGTCACTGCAGCATTTTCTGGTTTGGATGTGGGGGGATAAGGCCAGAGCAGGGCAAATTAGGTCTGAAGAGGACTCCCAGCTGCTGCCCACCCCTGGGTCTGTACAGAGGGCCTGTGTTTTGAGGCCATCACCCTGTGACCAGCCTTGACCAAGGCTGCTCGTTTGATTTCCAAGAGTCCTCCTGATTGTTATAAATGACTAAACCACAATCACTGCAAGTGGAGACCTTCTCCAGGGAAATTGCTCTTGCAAATTTGCTTGGGAAAGAGACGAGAAACTGCCGACATTTTTGATGCAAATAATGGATTGTTGTTCCAGGCAGTTATGACAATAATTGAGGTAACCTGAGCCAAACACTTTAAAATCCCTTACCACTAAGAACTGTGCTTAACCCAGGTTTGCAATTTGAAGAACCAAAGCTTTTGGGGGAAGGTCTCACAGTACCGATGCATCAAGGAGCCCTAATACAGGAGCAACCAGGAGAAAATTCTTTCACTTTTCAGCTTGGCTGGGTCAAACTGAGCAACACAAACATCCCCCCACCTTCAGATGCTGGCAGTTTCTGGACAGCAGCGTGTACAAGATAACCTCCTCTGCCAAGCCACCGCCAAACTGTTTTGAGAGCAGCAAAGGAGTTGTGCGAGGAGCCGGGCAGCAGCCACTGACACAGATGTAATCGCCTGCACATTTGCCCCAAATGTCTCCCTGCCAGGCAGTGACATTTCTGCACTGTCTCAGCTCTCTCCTCCGTCACCATGGCTACAGCAGCCGCCAATCCACGGGCGAGTCCTTCCAGGGTACCAACAAACCCTCTGGGAGATGCTACGAGAGCCAACCTCTTTGGCAGGGAGACACTTCGGGGACCCCGGGATAGCCCATAGCACCAAAATTTCCCCCTTTTCTTATTTCCCTTCTCCTTTTTATTTTCTCTTTTTTTTCCTTTTTTTTTTTTTTTTTTTTTTGAAACACAAACAATGGAGCTAAAAGGTTGGGTATCAGGCCGATAATCATGAATGACGTGTCATTATTACACACCACACATTCATTATCTCCCACTCCAGCCATGTCACAGGCGGCTGGAGGAGGGCAGATAACGGGGTGCCTTCATGCAGATGGCTTATTATCACGATGTTCCAGGAGGGGCTTTAAGACAGTTAGTGATGCTGTTTGCCAGTTAAAGATTAGAGACCCCAGAGAATAATTAACAATCCCAAAACCCAGTTTTTCTGCTGGATTCTTCAGCTTTCTCCCCCCTCCCCCATCCTCTTTAATCTATTCACTCTAGCAGGTGTAATAAAGTGATAAGGAGAGGCTCCGGGGATGTTTGTTTGGCTACTACGGGTGTACAAACCAACAATGGATGGTATTTTACTTCTGGCTTTCAGTGGCTTGAATCGAGACCAAAAATTTTGCAGCCCCCTTGCCCACACACAGCCACCCCTCCCTGCTGTGCTCCCAGCTCCCACCTGGGTGGCTGAGCTTCTTCCCCACCCGAAGGACAGCGATGGTGGGACGGGCTCCCTTTTTGTTTCTGGAGGTCCAAATCACATCTCTTGGGTGCCAAGGTGCCCACTGCCAGGACATAAACCCCAGGCTACACTGTTTGGGTCCAGGGCAGGAGCTGGTGGCTCTTCCAGCAGCAGTTTATCTGAATACGACAAGCCTTTAATTAAACTACCTTTCAATAATTTACACGGCAGTTGTCCACCTGCCCAAAGTGCTCCGGGGTTGTGGTTACAGCTGGAACAGAAACAGAATCTTAAACCCTCACAGCTAAAGGGACTCAGGAGAGATCAGGAAAGCATCAGAGCCAAAGGTGGATTTCAACAAGATGCCCCATTATTTGCGTGTCCAAGAGATGAGCTGCATCCTCCTAGGTGTCAAAGAAAAGCTGTGATACATCTTGTAACAAGGTGGTAATGCAAAAAACCCACCCTGAATGTCTTCTGCCCAAAAGGAGATGGTCCTGTCTGCAGCAGAACCCAAACCTGGATGTTTTCCTGAAGCCCAAGCTTCAGAGATAATGGCATTATGGAGTGAGGGGCAGGATGGAGCACCCATGATGTCACTGTGAAGGACATGGTCACTCCCCCATGCTGCATGGAGAGAGGTGTTGGGGAGGATTTGGCCCCAGGCAAGCTGTCTCAGGCCCCCTCAGAGAGGTCACAGAGGCTGGGGGAGGTGCCCATCACCTGGGGACTGTCAGGTACAGCCCCAACTCTGGAGGACATTCCCGAGCTCCCAGGGTTGGCATGGAAGGCACGAGCACTGGCATGCCAGAAGTTGTCATCCCAATCACGCTCATCCTTCCAGGGAGGGATGAGACAGCATTGTGCTTTAAAGAGCATCCCGACCCTATCAGCAAGAGATGAGATATCCTAATTACGGCAGTACAGGCGAGGATCCGGGCTGTATCAGCCAGTACAGAAAGGTAAACAAGAAATATAACAATGGACCCTTAACACTCATTAGCTGTGTCAGATAATACCTCACTTTTCTCCCTTTGGGGTTTAAAATCTAATTAAGATTTTCCAACAATAAATTTCATTTATGCTCGCTCCCTTTTGTTCTTTTTAGGATCACACCGAGAAGCATCTGCGAGGCGGCTGCACAGCTCAAGGGAAGGCAGCTTCACTCAGTCAGCCTCAGCTTGTGCTTCATGGACAAGAGAAACTGAGGCAGGACAGCACCACGGACAGTACAGAGGTGAGGTATACCACTGAGGAGGCATCCCTGGCTCTTGCTTGAGATGTTTTCGCCTGGGAAGTGAACTCTGAATGGGTACTGGCTGTGATAAGACCAAGCACTGAGACTCCTGGACTAGCCCAAAATGTCCAGCAGTAGAGCCCCACCCTTCTCCTTGCTTGGACCTACAGCCATGGCAGAGATCCATGGGGAAAGGGACACTGAGACCAACTGAGTCCTGAGCACACCTCCACTCCAAATCCGCATCCAGGCACTGCAGGGTGAGCAGCTCAAGCGTCCATCACATATTGAGGGTGTGCACAGGGCATGGAAAAAGCTCCTGCTGTTACTCATTATAAGGATATCATTGCTAACTCCTTTTGCAACTGAGAGGTAAAAAATTAATGGGTTCCCCTCCTCTCACCACACCCCCAGCCCAAGTGCTGATGCCACAGGAACATGTACTGGCTAATCCTTAAACCCTGCTGAGCACAGCACTACCCCTGAACTCTGGGAAGCTTGTTTTTTCCAAAACCACATGACACTTGGCACCTACAAGAGAAAAGTCGGGGGAGCAGCATCCACAGGGGCATGAGTGGGGAGGTGCAAGACCCAACCTGGGGCTGGCTCAGACTCCTGCTGTCTAAGGGAAGGTGGTAGAAGGGAACAGTTCTGACATGATGCTGGGGGTGCAGCCATCGTGCCTCCAAATCTGAGGGCCTGACCCCTCTAACCCTTCTGCCTGTTTTCTTCTACTCCCATGCAATTTCTCAACTGGAGCTGTGATTTCTCAACTCCAAGTCTTTGAGGGCATTTTCAAAACACTCACCTACCTGAGTCTCTAGGGGAAAGGCCTTTCAAGGTGGGTCTGTTACTGGAAGGCTCCTGCCTGAATTTTTGTGTCACCACCTGGTCGGACATTGGCAGCTTCCCCTGCAGGAAGTGCACAGCAGGGTCCTAAAACCCCCCTGCTCCCCTCAAAACCGGGGGCTGCCAAAAGCGCCCCTCTTATAAACCTCCCACCCCATCCCTCCCAGTCCTGGTTCAGCTGGGCTGCCCTTGATTTCAGAGTCCCTTCGCCCTTTCATAAATTGTCAAGAAGAGGACTCTGAATGCCACTTGAGTAACTCATGTTCCAGGCATGGCCAAGGCATCAGAGCTCTTTTCAAGCTTCAAATGCCACAGCTTAGAAGCGCTTGTTTCTCCCGTGGCGGCCCTGGCACTGCTCCCACCACAGCAGAAGATGGACCCTGGTTAATGAACAGCCTGGCAGGAGCAGGTTGCACTATGGCCAGTTGCTCTGGGATAGCCAGCACTGCCCGTAGCAGCCTCCAGCCACTTCCTGGCAGCAAGGATAAGTGATTGACATTCACAGCCTCCAGCCCTGGGAATGGCCCCCAGCTGGTTGTAGGTCTGCATGTTGTGGTCAGTGGGATTCAGGGAGTGCTGCCTTTCGCCCATTAAGCAGCACTGTTAAGTGCTGGATTGGTGCTGTGCCTCAATTTCCCCACCCAGCAAATGGTGAATGATGCTCAGCCACACTTTGCAGCCTTGGTGTGGTCCAAATGCTGAGCATTCCATGATGTCCTTCATTTTCCCAACTGCCTGAAGGCTGGGAGAGCTGTGAGATGCCAGAAAGTCCTTTGGCTGATTAGCAAAACGACCCTCTCTGCTGTCATAGGGGCAACAATTCTCTTTATTGCTTACAGGGGAGATATGTACAGGGGAGAAGGTTTGTTCTGACATTAAAATGTTTCATGCAGGTTGTAAAAAGGAGGGTGAACTGGGGAGAAAATAGCAGGTTTTCCATCAGCAACTCCCCGTAAGGCAGCTGGGGGTGCAGGGAGGTCCCAGGCACCCAGTAGGAGCCCCTCTGTGTAATAAGCAGGTCAACACCCTCCTAGGACTTGGGACATCAACCTTGCCAAGGAGGTGGGGTGACCACCAGGCAGGAGAGCTGACACCTCCAGACCTCTCCTGGGGACCAATGCCCACGTGGACACCAGTCCCCGAGGCAGAAGAGCACGTCCCACAGGTGTGGAAAGATCAGGAGATGGTGGTGCCATGGGGAGTTCAGGGACCCATTACACACAGGGGGTGCCAACACAGAGGGTCTCTGTGAAAACGCCCATCGCGATCGTGTGAAGCCAGTTGAGAGGAGGAAGGAGGGTGGCTGGTTGGGTGCCTGCTACATGGCAGTGGTGATCACCTTCTCCTCGGGCTCCACCGTGTTCTCGTAGGCATGCTGGTTCTCTTTGCACCTGCACAGGGAGGGAGAAGCACAATGCTGAGCTCACCCCCAGTAAGACCGGCCTCCCCAAAGCCACCCCTGGGAATCCTGACCTCGCTGGTGCCAGCTGTGCACTGATTTATGGGGGAGGTGGGGAGGACAGGAGGGGTCACCCTGCCAGGAAGGAAGCCAAGAGCAGGGTGGGAATCCCTCTAATTTTTGGCGAGGTCTGTTTTGACAGTCAACATCTACATGGTGACTTGTGGCCACTTTTGGTGGCTTCCTCTGTAGGAAAGGTATGATGTAGCATAAGAAAAATGTGGTGTAGCAGGTTGCAAGGTGATGGATGGATCATGGGGCTCAACTGCAGGGACAGGGAGAGATGAGGGAGGAGGGGATACTGGGATACTCCCTTTCCCTGCCTTCTGCTTAACCTCTGGATGATAAAAGTCCCCAGACCCAGGTGCATGGGAGATGTAAGGCCCTGAGTGGGAGAGACTGTGGCTCTGCACGTCTGAGCTGGCCCCAGGGGGACGGGACAGAACAGAGCTAGGAGCCATGGGGAGGAGGTCTGAGAAAGTCCTTCACCTGAAGTCAGTTGCAGCTGATATGTATCTCCCTTCGTGGCCATTGGACACGACAGGATCCTGCTTGTCCTCTACAGTCACCATGGTCTCGGCGTTTTCCCTGGAGGGAGAGAAGGGAGAATCTGAGATAGGACAATGAAGGAGCCATGATGGGGAGCAGCCTCCCAGTGGTGATGGCAAGAGGAAGGGACTGATCTGACACTACAGAGACAATAAGGATGTGATCCTGGCCTTGGACACGCAACTCAGCCCCTATCCCAGCAGGACAAGGGCAAGGGCAAACACCTTCACTGCTGGTTTGCAGAGGCTGTGCCCAGACGCCAAGCACCAGCCCCTGCCTCTGGAGCTGGGACTCCCAGCACCGGGCTGGCACTCAGCAAGACTCATTGTCAATACGTGGGATTGTTTTCCCCCACTAACTGGTTTTTCCAGTCTACTTCTATGTAATCTGTTGCAAAATAGTCCCCTACAGATCCCAACTGACACAGATGGAACAGTCAAGGCCCTGCTGGTGCTGCAGCCCTGGCTGGGCTGTAGGTGTGCACGTCTGTGTGAGCAAAGCAGAGCTGCTTTCTCTCAGGTGTGAGTCTGTATCATTTGCAGAACGAACCATTGGGCAGGGATGGGGCATTTGACCTCAGCCAGAATCTAGAAGCTCAGCTCTGGAGCAAGCCCGTAGCCCAGATGGTGCCAGGGGGGTTATCTGCGGAGGGTGGGTGCAGGTCTGCCCTGCAAGCACATCCCTGACTCCTCCAGGGCAATTTCAGAGGCTTCTCCAAGGAACAGACTGGCATAAACAAGCAGCAGCTTGAGCTGATAGCTGCTGTCACAGTGACAGCGCAGAGCTGGCAGGGCGCCAGGCAGCCGAGCCTCGCTGCCCGCTCTGCTGAAGAGAGGCCAGATTAATTAAATCAGGGTGCCATCCCCCCTCAAGCCCTTCACAGCATCCTCTGCCTCTGGGCTGGGAAGAGGCAGCCAGGCACGGGCAGCGGTGGGAAACACCATCCCTGCCTCCCGCTCCATGAGCTGGGAGTTCCTTCAGTTTGAGGACAAAGGTTCCTCTTTGGGAAACAAAGACCTGTAATTCTGGCAAATCAGACCATTTAGATATACACTCATTGCATTATGCATTGGCCCTGAATGCATCCTAAAGGGATCCCCCTTAAATACATCTGGGGATGAAGCCGACCTGCTGTGCATCAGGATACACCCCAGCTCTCCCCCTCCTCAGCCTGGAGAGGCTTCAGGAATGCACAAGTACAAGAAGACTCCAGCACCTTCGGGTGCAAAGCCCAAAGAGACAGTGCCAGTGCAGAGGAACTGGGAAACAGGCTTCATTCCCTGTCGACTTTGGGCTCAGATTCAAGATCAGGTTACTGCGACTTCGCCAGTTGGCCTTGCTTGGCTGAGCAGGAGCAGCAGCCTGTGGCTTTGCTTGGCCAGCAGTGGACAAGAGGTAACCTGTCCCACAGAGCCGCCTTCTGATGAGTAAGGTCACCTCATTTGTCTGTGCCATGGGCTCCAGGTTGAGAGCTCTGCCATGGCTTGGATACCTCCCCCTTCTCCCAGCTCCCCTCAGTGCGTTCTGACAACTTGTATCTGTCTGCTTTGCAAACAAAGCTGCTTTGAGCTTATCATCCCACAGATATAAGGCACATGGGAACTGCACCCGCAAAACCATAGAAAACCAGGCTCAGGCCAGTTCCCTGAACATGTGCCTCCGTAAACCAGCCACAATGCTGCTGCCTTCTCATTCCCAGCACAGCACTTTCTCATGGCAGCATTTGTACAGTGCAAGCTCACACCTGGCAATAAGTAACAGGGAGCAGAGACCAGGACAGGGAGAAGAGGACGGAGAGATGAGGACAGGGAGTCTTTGCTCTCCCTGCCCAGCTCCCAGTGCAGCGATCACAGTGTTCTCAGCCCTGGCACAAGGATGGAGGCTGCTGGAAGTGACACGTGCCCAGGCAGCTAAGCCCAGCTCTGGCAACCTCCCACACTTACGCTTTCTTCTTACACCAGAACCTGTTGACCACGAAAGCGATGGCCACCAGCACTAGAAACACGACCACTGCGATGACACCCTGTGACCACGGCTGGAGGCTGCCCCGGGCTACAGGAAAAGAAGAGGACACAAGTTAGAAAGTCATCCTCAGAATTTATCTGCTGAGTTTCTCCCATTCAGCTTCAGCAGCATCCAGGCAAGAGCTTGGTCCTACAGAGCCAAGCAGAACATGTTGCTGTCAATTCAGGCAAGCTTACCTGGGTGATAGCAATAAAATAAAGCACAAATAAAAGTGGTTTCACTGGCTTTTGCATGTGGAGTGTGGTGCCTTGCAGCTTGGGGGCCCCATATACAAATACATACACATATACATGTGCTGTGGGGTGCTGGTGACTCTGTGATGGGGGGAAAAAAGGGCCAGGGGACATGGCAGAAGGGAGGGAAGGAGAATGTTTGCCAAGGGGAAGAAGGCAGAGGACTTTCAGCAAACTATTTGTTCTCCATCCCTAGATACCACAGACATAATTCCCAGGATATTTTCCAAATACTGACTGGTAAAATAAGGACCCTGTACCAGGGACAAGTTAAAATTTGGTTACCGCTCTCACAGTAAACAGTTGTCACTGCGGATTTCAGTAAAATGCACCATCTAAAAGTTTCCAGAGCAGCAAACTGATTTATGACAGGAAATTGAAGGCTGATGCATTCAGAGCAACAACCTCAGTGCAGAGGCCAGGCAGGGCTGGTGGGGGCCAAGCAGCATGGGGGCTTGGGGGGGGAGCTGGGAGCTGACCAGGATGTCCCCTCTCCCCCCCCAGATGGGGTGGACTCACAGGTTCGTTTTCCTCTATCCAGACCTATACAGGGATCCAGCCATGAGTGAGAAGGCTGTGATATGCATTCCTGGACGTGGGAAGAATGTGAGGGCAGGGTAGTGAGAAGTGGAAACCTTTTCCCAGTCCTTGCTGGGATGGCTGCTCCTTGCCTCTCACTGGCTTTTGTTTGGAGCATTCAGGTGTAGTCAAACCCATCCTTTAGTCAAACCCATCCTGTAGTCAAACCCATCCTTAAGCACTGTCATATCAGCACCAAATAACACCTTGTCCATGCAGACACATCCCTTCAGAATTTAATTACTATTTATTCAGGCATCGCTTTTCCTCATCTGCTGATCAAAATGCCAACCCTTGCACATTAGAGAGGTCTCTCTGCATGGGCACATGGGGTAGGTGGAGGATGCTACACCTGCCAGCTCCAGCATCAGCCCCAGGACACTCAGACCCAGACCTGGCCACTGACACCTGTAAGGCTGAGCTGCCCCTGGACGAGCAACTGGTTCTTCAGTCTCACTCAGGCACTTTACGCTAGCTGAACACTTCATCTGCCTCACAGGAGACAAATCTCTGCTAGAAACAGAAAAATGATCTTTACTAGCAGCAATAAAAGTGGGCTGTGTGCTCCACATGTGCAAACTCCTCATCTGTAACCAGCTTCACACTGGCTCTGCTGCTAACAGCTCTCCTCTCCTTCCTCTGATTTTCGGGAAGAGGGCTGTCCTTTGGTAAGGCCTCCAGTGTTTACTGCAAGAGACTTTTAAAAAAAAAAACCCGCCACCAAACCAGAAAAACCAAACCAACAACACAAAACAAGGCTCTTTTTTCCTCTTGGAATTGAAATCAGCCTGGCCACTTGACTCGCCAGCAGTGCCAGTCTGGAAAGCACTGGCACTTCTGGGCAAGGGGCTGCGAGAGCAGCCCCAAACAGCATCTCTCAGCCCCCTCTCCCTGCAGAGACACTTGCCATGTTTACTGCAAGGTCCCAGGGCCAAAACTGAAGCAGGAGGAATTCAGACGGAAATTCCCTCTTGTATCAGCGTGTTTGTATCAGCAGCTGCTGGTGGTGCTAACTGGGGAGGGGGGGATGGCACCAGGGGGTGGTGGTGTTGGGAAGAACAGGGTTTGGTCCCCTCCTGCCCTGCCTGGTGGGCAAGGATGCTCCTGCCCCTGCTGCCCACCAGCCCTATGAGTGCAGCCCCGAACACACCTATTGCCTCCCGCCTGAGCTTTGTCTCACTCTGTGTCCTCCCTCGCTCTGCCCTTGGCTGTTGGCCACATTTATTTATTAGTTGTAGTTTATTTTTCCTGTCGGAGTCAGGGTTTCCAGCCTAAGCCTAGGAGGGGGTGGTCACGTCCAGCCCTCCGTGATGTTTCTGCTGGGGCTAAGGGAGTTCAAGGTCAACCGGGGAATGAAGTCAGTGGTGACTGAAAGTGCCAAATTTGGATCTCGTGATCTTCCAGCAAAGGGGGGGGAGAAGATAAGTGGTAGGAAATTTCCTTGGAGCGACTGTGCTCAGGAGGTACTGGATGTTTTGCAGGCGAAACCTCGCTCAGACAGCTGTTTCCAGCAGATTTCAGAGCATCCAAAGCCAAAAGGAAAAACACCAAACCAAAATCAAGGCGTTCTGGCTTTGAGAGACCATGTAGGTCCTGGCTGCAAGGGGAGAGGAGGGTGGTAGGGGAATGGCAAATGCCTCCACGTTGGGCTGAAATCCCCCGTGGGGAACTTACATGTGCATAAGAAAGGAGGAATGGGAACCAGGTAGAAGCAAGAGCTTGATAGGATCTACTCCAGGTGTGACTATGGGCATCCCAGCCCTGGGGGGGCACTGCCTGGCTGGAGCCCCATCAAGCACACCAGGAGAGATGGCTGAAGGGATGAGTGTCACCTGTGGAAACAGAATTGTGTTCCTGGAAAAATGCTTTCTGAGGGATGCCCCTCCTGGGACAGCCTGTCCCTCAGGCTCTGCCACCTCCTCTCGGTTTCACCTCACGTCAATGATGGGGTTTTCCCTCACCAACAAGATCCCGTAAGCCAAACTAAGCAATGTGGAATCTGCAGCCCTGGCAGATGAGTGTCCACACATCTGCAGCTACAAACCAGACCAAGGGAAGTGCCAATGCTAAAATAAGCCTGTACACTTTTTGTAACTTCATTTCCATGCTCAACAGCAAAATTGAAAAAGATTTTTGATACATCTTTCCCGAGTGCTTGGAAAACATCGGCTGGCCCCTGTCTTTTCCACCCTCTGAGGAAGCTGTGCCAGGCTCTGAATCCTCATTAAAGGGTTTCTTTTTCTGCACTCCTTCCAAGCAACAGCAAAACTTTCAATCCTGCTGACAGCAGAGACCCCAGGCTGTTAAATCCTCAGCAAGTTGGTAAACAAGCACAGGAAGAGTGGTCACGGCTGGGGCTTCAGAAGGAGAAGGGAGGAGGGAATTTTCCAGGACTTTGCCAACACCAGATGAGTTTTAATTACTCCTCATTATTTCTAGGATTAGACAAGCCCTTCAACAAATTTCCTAAAAACAATGCCCTCGCCATAGTAAGTTTCTCTATGAAGTTTTTTGGAAGAGAACAGGAGGGCAATTTGCAGAGGAAAATATTTGCTCTCTCTCCTCAGCAATGATCAAAATTACAGATTAACAGGAGAATCTGTGAGCTCAGGGAGCGACCCAGCACAGCACTTGCCCAAGGACGAGAGTGAGAGAGAAGAAAAAAAAAAGCCTGTAAGAAAACAGATTACTCATCTCGGTGCACAGTCCTGCGAGAGGTAAATCAGAGCTGCTTTATCTCCGCATAAGCAGGTAAGATAAGCCTCAGGTGGCAGTTTCAGCCTTCGGCAAAACAGGTAGAAAGTTTCCATGCTCCAGCCCCGGTAAGACCTTCCAACCCCCGGGACACCCACCCATCCCGATGTGCAGCCAGAGCTAAAGCTTAGGCAGGAGCTGGGATGTATTTTCTGTTCCCAAGAGGCTCTTCCACAGTTGTCCCTTGTCCCCCACCAAGCAGTTCCCACTTGCCTGGGGCTCGGTGCACCCTCCTGCCTTTCCCCTGCCTCAGTTTCCCCGGGATATCAGGCAGCTGCCTGCACTTACCTTCCTGGCAGAAGGCAGGCTCCAGCTCCAGGAGCAGTCCCAGGAGGAGGAGGAGGAGGCAGCGGGCAGGCATGGTGGCAGGCAGGGCCGGGGGCTCCCGGGGTGCGGAGGAGCAGCCGGGCGCTGCACTTGGACACGCCGCCCTCCCACAGGAATGAGCGCTAGGTCAATTATCAAACGCATTAACGAGGGAGGCCGATGCTCTCACCTGCTTATTCAAATCCTGCTGCGGGAAGGGGCGGAAGGAGGTGCCTCTTGCTTTCTCCCGCGGAAGCTGGCGGGGAATTTGGGGCACGGTGACTTGAACCTGACAGTCCCCTTAGGCAGGGCGTGGAAAGGAACTCGGGCACAAAATATTTGCATCAGCCCAGGAGCAAAAAGCGACATCCAGGTGGGTAAAATTCTTCCCCAGTGAAGCTGCAGTGCTTGGGGAGTGTGGTGTTCCCGAGGTCCCCGTCCCCACAGGAGGAGAGTAGGGGGAAGTCCAGTGATGCCCCAGCTTTGACAACCCTTCCCACCCTGTGGGACTTCCACTCATTTCCTTGCTCTTTTCTTTTCAGCGAGTGTCACTAACAACCTGGCAAAACATATTTGTGACTTTAAAACATCAACTTAAAAAACCAGACTCAGTGCCTGCTACTGCCTCCCACTTCTTACATCTTGTTTAATTGTGAGACTATTAAAAGGAACAAACACAGCCTTCACTTTATTGAGTCTTCAGGGCTGTCTCCAAAATTTCTTGACACCAGAAGAGGCAGAAACACCCAAAGACCTGCAGCAGACAGCAAGGCTCACCCTTCACATCAGCTGTGCAGATGCTACAGGATGGGGAACATTGCAGGTCCTGAGTTAAGCAGTTTCCCAGCCCATGCCAGGTTTGGATGGCTGGCAAACCCAGCCCATGGAAGAATAAAAGCTATTTGGATTCAGAGCTGAGAAACTTCACTGACTCCTGAAGGAAATTATAAAACTGTGAGCCGGGGGTTTAGTCGTTGTTCTTCTTGTGGTGTGTCAGAGCATCTCTGCAAGCCCAGACTGAGCATCCCCCTCGCAGCATATGAACTCCTGGCCTCTGAGTCTGGTGATCTCCCCTCCAGGGACCCTGCCTGGGTGCTGGATCCTGCCATGGGAGCCCACATGGGATCCATGCTCAGGAATGTGCAGCATTCTCAGGAATACATACCTGAGGAATACAATACCAGTGCAGGACTGCCCTCCTTCACCCCTCCTCTTTCCCCTGTATTTAGAATAATGTCATTTATCCTGAAAACAAACCAGAGCTGACTAGAGCTGTGCAAGATTGAAGGACAGTTCCCAATTCTTTCTCAAATTCCTTTCCATGACCAGATAGGTGCCCACCTGCAATACTGGATAATCCCATTCCCACCCCACTAATTCTTGCTTGTGAACCCTGTGGGTCAGGGACTTTCCTGCTACACTGGGCAAGGAAGTGTCACAACAGGGGCTGGCCCATAATAAGGCCCAGTAGAAGCAAACTAATCATGTTACAGAGGAAAAGGAACGTCTTCTGAAGAAGTAAAAGTGAGAGTGAACTTTGGGTTCCCCATTACTTGCTTCCACATTATCTGGGAAAGCATGCAGAGTTTGCCATCTTTGCTGCCTGCCTGTTGCTTGTCTCTCAGCAAACTCCCAGCAAAACCACCCGAGCTGTTCAGAGCAGAAGGCTTTATCAGCAGATCAGAAGTCCTAGAGAAGCCAGTCCTGCTGCTGCCCTTGGGAAATTCAAGGTCTGAGACATTCTGCTGTTGCCATCCCCCCCTCAGTCACGCCTGGAGCTGCGGCAGGTGGCTCATGAGGTTCCTTCTCCTCCGTGTGTGCTCCAGTCTTATCACACCAGGGCTCTGCCCAGTTTAGCTCCAGGGACCCTGGGCGGACATTTCAAAGACAAGGATGCCTCAAGGATCTGCCTGTATGCTACAGTGTGTTGGGGTGACAGGACGTGACAGACCAGACCCTGAGCTGAAGGCAGGGCTGCTGTGCCTTCCAGGTGGGGATCTTGCTCTCGGCTCCTTCCTGAGGAGCAAGCAACACATTACCAATTGCACATTCCCACATTTATATGAAATTCAAGAAAATTCAATTATTTAATTGTTTGGGGCTTGCTGATGAGGCCAGGGAATCGCTCCTGTGCTTATCTCAAAGCCCCTCTGTGCTCCAATGCATGTTTAGCCCAGGGTAGCTATTAGGAAGGTATGTGCCTTTGTGGAGAAAGCTCCCAGGGCACCTGCTTGGTTGCATATCCCTGGGTCTGGCCTGGGGGAATGAGAAGTAGCAAGTCACTGTAACAGCAGCAGCCTTGTTGCAAGGGCAAAGTCTGAAATTTCGACAAATAATTTGCCAACCAGCTCCTCCTTTTGTCATTCTGGCCCTGGCCTGGGACCTGCAGTGGCAAGTAGCTCTGTGTTTCTGCAGCAGTGTGCTGGAAATCTTGTTGTGTCTCTCTTTTAAGCCTTCAGCATCACCCAGCCATGGTGAGTCAAAGCCCTACAGGTCCATTTTACAGGTGAGGGAAAATGAAGCATGGAGGGGCAAATCATCTTGGCAGCATTCAGTCAAACCTGAGTGGAGCCAGAGCCAGAGCCAGAACAGTTCTCTCTCGGGGACCCATATGAGCAGTTGCCTGTACAACAGATCTTGCTAAAAGCAGGGATTGGAATTTCAGGATATCCTCCAAATATCGGGGGTTATTTCCTCTAAAAGATATGTAATTTTTAGGAGAAATTAACATTTGATCAGAGCAATATTCCTGGGTGATACATTTCAAAGCACAGATGCCAGTTCCTCTTTGAAAAATGTTGTGAGACTGTGTTTTAATGGAAGTTGTTTGTCTTTCTCCTTCACTTCCTTCCTTCCTCCCTCCTTCCTTCCCTCCTTCATCTTCTCCATTTCCTCCCCCTCTCTCAGACAGAGCCACAAAAATAATAAAAAAAAAATCTATGAGAGCAACTCTGAACATCCCCTAAAGAAGAGATTGTATTTTTCCTAGGAAAAAAAAAGTAATTATAAATTTGTTACATTTCAATAGCTGCTAAAAAGCATCAAAAAACCCCGAACAAAAAACCCTCGACACAAGCAAATAAAAAAACCCCACAGACCCAATTTTTAATTGCTTGTTTCTTTTGACATTTGCCATCAAAAACAAACATTCCTTGCTCGTGCCAGAATTCTCTTATTTCCCGTTGACACTTGTCTTTCAAATCCTGCCCAGTATGGATGCTGCCAGGAGAGAACTAGGAGCTACAACCACTGTGAAAAGGGCATTTTCTTGGCCTGGTGTGCCAGTGTGGATAAAAGGCAGCAGAAAAAGGCAGATCCTGCTCAGCTTGTCTTCTTCCATCACAGCTCTGAACCCAACTTGTCTTTAAAAATGCCTTTAAGCTGCAACATATTTTCTTATTTATGTGCTGTTGAAAACTCCAGGTTTCAATGATAGGGCAAAAGGGAATCACCCCATGCCAGCCTCATCCTCCCCACACTACACAGGGTTCAGCTGGACCGTTTGCTCCTCTTCTGAACACATGCACAGGGCCAAGAAAAAAACACCTCTTGGCATTTTATTAGGCATTTTGTTACTCCATCTGTGTGTCCCCGAGGGCTGATGCTGATCACAAGCCTTGAAGAAACAGCAGGGAGATGTGGTGGTGGCCATGATCCCTCTTGGTCCCTCCTTTCAGAAGAATGTGTATTTTCCCCTTCTCCTCCCAGGCAGCCTGGATGCTCCAGTGGGGTCAGCCAGGACCTCACCTGTCAGGGCACTCTCTGGGAGTTGGTACCCAGAACCTGTGTGTGATGGGACACAGACGTGGCACCAGAACTGGGCTCCAGGTGTGCCCTTCTTTTTCCCTAAAGATCTGCTCAGTAGCTTCACCGTGGCCCATGAGGATTTCATGGGACCCTCTGGATGATATTTTTTACATCAGTTGATTTTGGCATGGATCTCTGGGCAACACCCACACACTCACACCCTGCACTGTCTGTGCCTGATGCTGCAGCTCCATACATCCAAGGGCAGCAATGGCCTCTCTCCTCTGTCCCTTGTCCTCTCTGAGATCCCTACTCCTCTGTCCCTGACAGGAGCTCTGACAGCACATTCACATCAGCTTCAGGACCCACAGCCCTGGAAAATTAGGCTGAGAAAACACCTCCCTGATCTGTTCCACCTTGCCCTGGGCAGGGAGGACTCAAACTAAAAATCACGGAAATGAGAAGAAAATCCTCCTGCCTCTGCTGTGCCTTATTGTCAGGGGGTGAGCCTGCATCCGTGATTCCCCCTCGGCTTTCCCGTCTGTCCAGAGGGCATATTGCACCCCTAATCATCTCTGAGTGTGGGGGAAAGTACCACTGCAGATAGGCAGGATCCTAATGTGATGCTCAGAAAGGGAAAACGGAGCTGACTTCGCTCTGGATATTCCCTCCTGCCCAGAGATACCGAATGGAATGAATAATTTGCTATCCTATCATCTCTAATCTTCATCCCATAAAATCAGCAGCAAGCTGGGAGGGTTTTTGAAGCCTCCAGCTGCATTCGCTGATAAGACATGAGGCAGGAAAGATTGGAAGCCCATAAAAATGATAATCTCAGGCTTCAGTGTAACTTGGTGGAAGGGTTTTCTCCTGTCCTTTCATTAAGGATGGATTTCATGATCTTCCTTAAATAACAACAAGCCTTCTCACGAGGAATCTCCCATCCAAAAACTGATTGCATTGTCACTAGGAAACAGGAAGCCAAAAAGCAAGAAAAAAATAGATGGAGCACAGCTTAGAGCAAGGCCAAGGGGTGGGAGGAAAACAGGGAATTGGAAGTAATTTCTGAACACAGAGAGAATCTTTAGGCATTGGGGCTCTGCCTGGGAGAGTCAGGCACCAGCACCATGTCAAGCTGCTGGCCATGGGCCTGGCTGTGGAGTAAAGCCTCATCCTCCTCATCTTTCACCTCCTTGGCATGAAGAGAAATATCATGTCCCATTTCAGTGTGGTTTGATACATCATCCTTGTCACTGTTCCCAAATTCAGTGAATTGGGAGAGAAGAAGCGAAAGGAAAAAACCCAACTC